CTCCGCCAGGTCACCCGACACGACGAACAGCCCCTCGCCCAGCGGCACCGCCGAGTACGAGTTCCGGCAGCCCACCCACGCCATCGCGTGCTCAATGATGTCGTGCTCCACGCCCTTCCTCTCGCACACGATGCGAACCGCCCCGACGAAGGGCATCTTCGCCCCCTTCACGTTCAAGATGTCGTCCTTCACGTCACCCCCTGCCGCACCCGACAACCTCGCACGCACGCGGATCCTGGCCGACATCTTGGGTGCTAGGCAAGCAAGCGATTTATATACATGCATAGAAGGGGTGGTGGAGGCGATGGAGACGAAACATCCTTACTTTATTGGAAAACACTAGCATTCCTCCTCGTAATCCTTCCTCTTCCTCCCCGTCTCGGGCTCCCTTGCCTCCACCTGCGGCACACGGTACGAGAGCATGCCGCTCACGAAGGAGACCACGCCAAGGTTTTGCGGAAGGACACAGCCCGAGGGAGGAGAGGAACGGTACCCACGGGCCCAGGCCAGCGCGCTCCCGCGAAACTCCTTCCAGCTCCCGGCCTCCAGCGCGGCACAGGGCACTCCCTCCGCCTCCGCCAGCGCCTCCGCCCTCACCCTCCGCTCCACCTCGTGCAGCGCTTCGGGCATATACTGCGGATCGGCGATGACCACGCAGCACACCTCCAGGGTGGTGTCAGGCGCCGTCACCGGGGCTCCCGAGCTCATCACACCCGAGTGTTGCATCTTCGTCCTCCTCGCCATCCCATTCGTTGCCATCACGTTTAATACACACCCGCACGCTGCTATCCCATTTCGTCCACCCCAGCGCCTTCCGCACGATGTAGGCGGTGTTGGGATGGCGGAAGACCGGGGAGCTGTTGTTCACGTCCCTGAACCAGCGCAGCACCACCCTCCGGATGAACGAGTTCACCTCGCTGCCACACTCCTCCAGTGCCTGGCGCAGGTGCTCGGGCAGCACGGCGGCGCGGTAGTAGTTCACCACCCGCTCCTTCCCTACCACCTTCTCCTCAAGGAGACAGGAAAGCAGCCTCCGCATGTTCCGCATGTCAGGGCACGCAACCTCCCCGGGAGCAAGGGAGAAGCAGATGAGCCGGTCGATAAGCAGGTACACCTTCCGCTTTCTCCGGGCGGCCGTGACCGGTCAGCGGACCGTGTCAGCAGGCCCGTGACATGTCAGCCGGCTGACAGGGGCCGTGACCCGGCTGACAGGCTCACCTGACCGGTCACGTGACACATCACGTGACCGAGACAAGACTTTTTTATATCGCAGATCCAAAAACCCATAGGACATTTCTCCCAGGGGGAAGAAAACCTCCCTTGACCCCCCTGTTTCTCGACGGATCCTGCCGGCCGGGCCCGTCAGTAGACCGACTGCAGCCTTCAGCCCCGCCTCAGACCCCCTGGAGGCCCGCCAGGAGGCTAAGTGTCCGGAGATTGGCCGGGGGCCTGATCTCTCCGGGCGGCCGTGACCGGTCAGCGGACCGTGTCAGCAGGCCCGTGACATGTCAGCCGGCTGACAGGGGCCGTGACCCGGCTGACAGGCTCACCTGACCGGTCACGTGACACATCACGTGACCGAGACAAGACTTTTTTATATCGCAGATCCAAAAACCCATAGGACATTTCTCCCAGGGGGAAGAAAACCTCCCTTGACCCCCCTGTTTCTCGACGGATCCTGCCGGCCGGGCCCGTCAGTAGACCGACTGCAGCCTTCAGCCCCGCCTCAGACCCCCTGGAGGCCCGCCAGGAGGCTAAG